GAGAGAGAGAGAGGCCTGCTTCCCAGGACAAAAGCATTTTGTTATTTTTTTAAATGTTTATTTATTTGTTTTTGCGAGAGGGAGAGAGAGAGAGAAACAGAGAGAGAGAGCATGTGCTTGAGCTGGGGAGGAACAGAGAGAGAGGGGGAGGGAGAGAGAGAGAATCCCGAGTAGGATCCGTGCCTGTCAGCGCAGAGCCCAGCTCAGGGCTCGAACCCACGAACTGTGAGACCGTGGCCTGGGCCGGAACCAAGAGTCGATCGACCGACTGAGCCACGCAGGTGCCCCTCAAAAGCGTTTTCAAAGAAGGAGCCTGCTAAGCGTGTGGAAGGCACGCGTCCGTTAGCCATCGGGAAACAGAGTGAAACTGCAGTTCGGGACCCACGCCCGTCCACCCAAGGGGCTAAATGGCGAAGCGCGGAAAATAACAGAGGACCCGGGAGCCTCCCGCGCTGCCCCTGGGAGTGTTCGTTGGTCCTCCGAAGACCGATGGCTGGTATTCGCTACCGTTGAACAAATGTGCACCTCGTGGCCCAGCAAAGCCACTCAACTGAACGCATCCGCCTGCTCATCTAAAGCTGCGTGTGGACATTCCCCGGTCGTGCCGGCCCCAAACCAGGCGCCCCCCAGACGCCCTCCGGCACTGGGATGGATGGACAACCGTGGAGCTGTGCGCACCTTGGGGGGGGGGCGGCGGTCAGGGAAGAGTCACCAAGACCGGGATGAACAAGGAAGGCCAGACACAAAAGGGTGTGCGCGCTATGATCCTGTTTATACAACAGACCAAAACGCGCTCCGTGAATCTGTGGAGACAGGAATCCGGACAATGGTTTCCCTTGGGGGTGAGGAAGAGGGTGGGGCCTGGCCGCATGCGTATTCTGTTAGCGGAAACTCAAGGAATCGGTCACATATCCTGTGGGGGGGGGGGGAAGAGAGGGGTGGCAGGGGTGCTTCTATAACATGTTGCAAAGCCAGGAAAGGATGGGGTCCAAACCCGCCCCTGCTCGAAGCCACCTGAGCAGCCCTGCAAGGAAGCGTCCCTGCTGAGCCCGACTCCCACCGTCCACCGTTGGAATCACAGCGTGTCGTCTCACTCGGGGCCCCGAACCCCCTGCTGAGCATTGCCAATCCCTGCCCAGGACAGGGATTGCTGGGACAATGCCAGAACAGCTGGAACAGGTGTTGGGTATCTTCTGGGGGGCTTCTCCCTCGGGGATCTGTAGGAGAAGCGTGCTCAGAGACCTCCTGCTTTTCAGGCACAGCACTGGTCTGAGAAACCCAGGCTTGCTCCCGGCCAGGCCACTCGCGCGCCTTAGGCAGAGCATCCAGTAAACTGAGACCGTGCTAGCGGGAGGTCGGAGCTCACCAAAGACGGCAACTCACAAGGAGGAGCTCTCGCTGGGACAGGTGTATTGGTTATCTCGCGCTGGGTAAACTACCTCCAAACCCAGTCGCTTAAAAAAGCCACACTTGTTATCGCCATTCCCTTCTGTGGGCCGGAAAGTCGGGAATGGCTTAGCTGGGCGATTCTGAGTCGGGGGTCTCTCGGGAGGTTGTGGCCGAGGCGTCAGCGGGCGCTGCCTCATCTGAAGGCTCGCCCGGGACCGGAGGACCCACCACCAAGATGGCGGACCCGCACGGCTGCCGGGGGGAGGCCCCAGTTGTTCACCACGTGGACGGGTTTCCCCCGGAGCGGGTGGTCTGGGAGAAAGCGAGGAAGGCCCGGAGAAGCCTTTCACGACCTGGCTTCATGAGTCCCACACCGTCCCGTCCACCTGTTCTGTTCGTCAGAAGCAAGGGCAGAGTCCGGCCCACCCAAGGGGAGGAGGATGAGCTCCTTTCTGGATGGCGGCGTCTCAAAGAATTTGCGGACGTGCTCAAAATCCACTGTAGCAAACTCCAGGGGCGGCAGCATCTGAGGGCTTCGTTCGGCTTAGATTCCGTGACCAACTGTGGAGTGGAGCCCTCTGTCTCTGGGCCCCACCCGGTCAGAAGGTGGCCTCGGCTGGCCTGCGCCTCTGGGGTGCCTGTACCCAGGACGTTCTCCTCCGACCGTTTTGCCCGCCCACCCCGGGTCTGTGGGCTCATGCGGAGACCACACCGTCTCCCACGCACCGATTGTGGTGTCGTGTTTGGAGGCAGTCAGACGTTTCCAAATGAGCCTCACGTTGCACGAGGTCTCAGGTAGCCGGCTCTGACAGAGTGCCTGGTCACCCTTGCTGAGGCTTTGGCGACTCAGCAGGACAGTGGAAGGATTGGCCGCGGTCACAGATGCGGGCTCAGCGCGTGACTGCCAGGGCGGCTCTGTAGAAATCGGCTCCTGCTAAACAGGACAAAGGAGAGAAGCCTTTGTATAGTTACCTATGGCTGCACAGTAAACGTCCCCGCACTTGGTGGCTTCAAACCACAGCTGTGTGATACTGCTCATCAGGGGCCAGGGGACTGACTAGGGCCTGGCTTGGCTGGACTCACACATCTACGGCCAGCTGGCAGCTCGGCTGTGGTTGGCTGGTGGAGGGTGGTCATCCTTACCGGTAGCAAACGGGCCGTGGGCTGGGGCGATGGCATAAGGTGCCTCCTGTCCTCCAGCGGGCTGGCCCGGGCTAGTTCCCAGACCCACGGAGGGTCCACGATAAAGACCTGAAGCACGCAAGGCCTCACGAAGCCTGTTGCTTTGCCGCATTCTGTTGACCAAACTGAGTCACAGGCCAGTCCAGAGTCAAGGCACGGAAGTACCCTTCCCCCCTCGGTGGGGAGCACTGCCTGGCACAGGAGATACAGGCAGAGGTGGGGCGGATCGTGGCCTCTCTGCGATCCACGACCGTACGATCAACTTGACTTAATACTAGAATATGCATTTCATAGCGTTCGCCATCTCTGCCCAATCAAACATCTTTAAAACAAAACCCAGAAAGGGCACCTTTGTAACAGGATTAGAAATATCTGTTTTGAGCCAAGAGCCAACGTCAGCATGTGAAAGAGTGACCCACGAAAAGGGAGCACCCTGAAGCCGGGGATAAGCCAGGCATGCCGTGATCAGCTCACCCACGTGCCGATAGGAAAACTAGCTGAGACAGAAATAGGTAATTTACCCCAAAAGGCTAAACAGCTAGAAAAGACAGAGAAATCAGAGAAATGCAGACCGCGGTGTCCAAGATACCCTTTGGCCCATCAAATCGGCCATGTTGATCAGTGCTCTGAGGGCCGAGCCCGCGGAGGAAATGCTCCTCCACAGGCAGCTCTTGACTCTGACACGTCCCAGCACCTGCACCTCAGGGCAACTTGGCAGTGTGTGACCATTCATTCCCCACAGATTTCTTGTGGACCTGCCGTGTGCCAGGTGATCTTGTGTGAAGAGGCTTCCCATCTGTACCCTCCCCAGGCTCCGAGCAACTTGCCACGCCCTGGAGGGGTAGTGGTCAGCCAGCTTCGCTCACCTCTCTCTCCAGGGTTGACACAGGATGGGGGCTTGAGAAGTAGTTGGGGGGTGGATGGGTGGATGTTTGGGTGGATAGATGAGTGAGTAGATGGATAGATGGATGGATGTTTGGATGAGTGGATGGGTGTATGGATGTTTGGATGGAAGAATGGATGGACAGACATATGTTTGGATAGATAGACATATGGGTGGGTGGATGGATGGATGGATGTTTGGATGTTTGGATGAATGGACGGATAGATGTTTGGTTGGATAGATGTATGTTTGGATGGATGGATGGATGGATGGATGGATGGATGGACATATGGATGGATGGATGGGTGTTTGGATGGAGGAATGGATGGATGGACATACATTTGGATGGACAGACATATGGATGGATGGATGGATGGATGGATGGATGGATGTTTAGATGAATGGATGGATAGATGTTTGGGTGGATAGATGGATGGATGGATGGATGGACATATGTTTGGATGGATAGACATATGGATGGATGGATGGTTGTTTGGATGGATGTTTGGATGGAGGAATGGATGGATGGATGGATGGATGGATGGATGGACAGATTGATGGATGGATGGACATACATTTGGATGGACAGACATATGGATGGATGGATGGATGGATGGATGGATGGATGGATGGATGTTTAGACGAATGGATGGATAGATGTTTGGATGGATGGATAGATGTTTGGGTGGATGGGTGGATGGATGGATGGATGGACAGATTGATGGATGGATGGACATACATTTGGATGGACAGACATATGGATGGATGGATGGATGGATGGATGGATGGATGGATGGATGTTTAGACGAATGGATGGATAGATGTTTGGATGGATGGATAGATGTTTGGGTGGATGGATGGATGGATGGTTGGATGGATGGATGGATGGACAGATACATGGATGGATCACAGATGATGGGTGGCAGGTGATGAAGTGAAAGGAACAGATGTTTACACTTGATCCAGTCACTCTAATTCCAGAAATGTATCCTAAGGAATTGACTGAGCAGGAGGTGAGCAATGAAGGTTTCACATGGAACAGTGAACAACTGGAAACAGCCTAAGTGCTCACCATGGGTGCCCCACAAGGAAGAGTGTTCCCTCCTAACCCCATCCCTGGGAGCTCCTCAGCAGCTGCCCCCCCCCCAGTGCCCCTCGAAGCCCCCAGGTCTTCCAGTGGGTGTGATCATCACCCCCACCTCACTAGACTCCATGTCTGTGATGGCAAGGTGTGTTCCTGCCTTGTTGACAGATATTTGTTGAGCGCCTGGTTTGGGCTCGATGTGAAGTTGGAGGTGGTAAATAAAACAGACGTGGTGTGGAACACAGTTAAGCGGAAAGATTACAGAATGCTCTCACTCTCGATAATTATGACGGCTGGGATTCCTTGTGCGTGACTGTCCCCCAGACGCTGTGCATGTCCTCGCTTGTCACTGAACCTTACTAAGGAGGGCGCTGCTGCTTTCCCAGGTACAAATGAGGAAACGGCGAAGGTGGCACAGTTAGGAAGTGGGGGGGGGGGCACTCGCATCCACACAGCAGGACCATGCGCTTCAAGCACTCCGGCCAGCTCTCGGGCGGATTCAACACAAGTAAAACCCGTCGGGACATGATGCGGCTCCCCTGGTTTCTACGGCTGGTAACCACGGGCCCCTCTGTGGCTCTGTCTCCAACATATGTCACGCAGCAATAGGGCTCTCCTCCTTGTCCGTGCCCTGGTTTCCTTCAATCTCAGCGGTCGTCCAGGGCTGCTGGGAGAGGTTTAACCTGGTGGTCCCAAGGGAGGCTGACTCTGACCAGCACATCTGCAAACAGCCCTTGACTTGTGGAATTGGAATCAGTGACAGAAAAATCCTCGCCCCGAGTTCGCTATGATTGTCGCTACCGGTTACCGAACATCTCTCTCGCGTTCGGGACTGTACGATGAGTTGATTACCTCGTTTACTCCTCACCGCATCCCTGAAAGGTAGATCCTCACCCTACAAAGAGACTGCAGTTCAGAGAGGTTAAGTAGCTTGGCAGAGGTCACACAGCGTGTACTAATATATTAGAGCGTGAAGTTTTTTTTTTCCAGTTTCAGAGTCAGGAAGGAGGTGTCACATTGCTTAAAATGTTAATGACAAAAAAAAAAAAAAA